AAAGGCGCTATATAAATATCATTTATTATTATTATTACAAAACAAAGTGTGAAGTGACTTCATTATCACTTCTTACAGTCTATGGTCAGTATCTTATATTTAAAGAACAAAGGTGGGGCAGTCTTTGATATTCGTCCAAGATGTGTCTTGAACATCAACTGTTACAGTATATATGTATTAGTACAAGGATGTCTTTAGAGGACTCACATCCGACGAAGCTTCTTGTAGGAGGTGAAGGCGCCCGGAGGAACCGACTTGATGCCATTCTGCTCCAAACGTCTAGAAACAGAGAGACAGACATTTATTCGAAGCCTTCCTGTTAAGTATTACGGCATGATTATTATTAAGTGGAACTAAAAATGCTAAATATAAATGAAATGTGGTGTATAAAAGTTTTAAGGGGGGAGGTGGGATTTCTATTCAAAGATTGACAAAAATCCAAAAATGACTGGTGAACAGATTTAACAGAAATAACGTGAAATATTAAGAACAAAAATTTAAATGAGGTCTGTACTCCGGGTTAAAAGTCAAGTCAAGGGTTATTATATTAAATATTATACATCATCGAAAAAAAATGCAAAAATGATTGTTGTAGAGTGAAGCTCAGTGTAAAACTGCTCAGTCTTTACTCTTGATTATATGTCAGTTAAGTGTTAGAGGACTGAAAGCTCACTCTACTGTGACACTCGCTATCATTTGCCTCAGTTTAAAGGTCCCATGTCATGGCCATTTCTACTGATCATAATTCCATTGTTGAGGTCTACTAGAATAGATTCACGTTGTTCAATTTTCCAAAATCACATTGGTTTCTCAAACAGCATCTCTGTACAGTATGTGTATTCACTCTCTGTGCTAAACGGCTTGTTGGAGATCCTGCCCCCCCCTGTGAGCCCAGTGGCCGTCTGCGAGACAGTGAAACCCAACCCGAACACACACACACACCTGCAGCCTGGCTGGGAGTTTGAGTGTGTGCCCAGGCTGCGTTCCGCAGTTCCGCGGTGTCTCGCTGTCTCGCCGACCCCACCCCAGTGAGCCAGCTCACTGTGTCCCGCTCCTCGCAGCAGCAAGCCTCGCAACGTCCCGCCGAGTGTGTGTGTGTGTGAGGAGGTCACGTAACGGACGTAACGTAACGGCTCCGCAGATTGGTCAATTTGGACCAATCTGCGGAGCCGTTACATTACGTCACTATACCCAAGAAGGAAACAATGGAAAAGAGAAATCCCCAACGAGGCGTTCTGGGGCAGCACAGACAGGTCTTCTCTGTGTTAGAGTTTTACTCCCTACAGGGTGTACTTTGAGGGTTTGTGACTCTGCAGACCGTTTACATGCAGAACAACCTTCATGACACACAAGGGGACGGGTAAGAACCAGAAAAGCATGACATGGGACCTTTAAATGTAAACTCTTTAATATTGGTTCTTCTGGGATACTCACATCTCGGTCATGGCCTCAGGAAGGTGAGCGGGGATGGCGGTGAGGCCCCTCCCTCGACAGTCCACGATGTTGTTGCTGCAGGAACACATCGGAGGACACGAGCCCGACGCCAGGCTGCACGGCTGCACAAACGCACTGCCGCCATTTCCTACAAAACAAAAGAATCACATTTACAACTCAAACACCAACGTACACACTAAGCCCTGAGTGTGGAGAGGGAAAACGTCTATTATGAGATCAATTGCAGGTCTTTCTTGTAAGACGTCTTGATACAGAAACGTCAGAACGTTTAAAACCCGATTCTCGATTAACATCCAACATAATGCACTACTTTTTGAGCTTAAAATAAGTAAAACCAAATTGCTTGTAGTCTTCTTTAGTTAAACCAATTCACCTTCATTTGTTTATAGCACAGACATCTTATTCAAAAGAAACAAAGTGTGACTCGAAAACATTTGAGGCATCGGAAAATAATGTTATAATCACCTTGTACCCCTCTGAATCAGTACACAATGAGGTGGACTACGTATTGTGTCTCTGTAGTTCTGTACCTGAGCAGGCGAAGTCACTCTTCCTCAACTCGGCCAGGTTCAGGCCCCTCAGTGTGGGGGGGGCGCTGCACTGAGTGTAAAGTCCTAAAGACGCTCGCTGCCTCAGCCAAGGAGACAACCAGGCCAGGTGACAGTCACAGCGGAGAGAGTTTGAGTGCAGGCGACTGGAGGAGGAGAGGAAGGAAAGGAGAGGAAGGAAGGGAGAGGAAGGAAGGAAGGAGGGGAAGGAAAGGAGAGGAAGGAAAGGAGAGGAAGGAAAGGAGAGGAAGAAAGGGAGAGGAAGGAAAGGAGAGGAAGAAAGGGAGAGGAAGGAAAGGAGAGGAAGGAAAGGGAGAGGAAGGAAAGGAGAGGAAGAAAGGAGAGGAAGGAAAGGAGAGGAAGAAAAGGAGAGGTAGGAAAGGAGAGGAAGGAAGGAGGGGAAGGAAAGGAGAGGAAGGAAAGGAAGGAAATTAGAGGTAGGGAGAGGAAGGAAAGGAGAGGAAGGAAAGGAGAGGTAGGAAAGGAGAGGAAGGAAAGGAGAGGAAGGAAAGGAGAGGAAGGAAAGGAGAGGAAGGAAAGGAGAGGAAGGAAAGGAGAGGAATAAAGGGAGAGGAAGGAAAAGAGAGGTAGGGAGAGGAAGGAAAGGAAGG